ATATATAAGCTTCCAGTTTTTCCAACATAAGAAAACCTCAATAATTTCACCACTTATATTTAGTGTTTTTATAAGATTTACTATATCATCTGTTTGAGTTCATTTGGTTTCATCTAAACAAATCAGGTGAATCCCAACCTTCTGGGTGATGTAAGTACTTCAAGGACTGGAGGAGGAGGGGGGCGTTAGAAGTAAAATCTTTTTTAGATTGGTCTCTGCCGCCCCCTGGTGGAATTAGTGGAAAAGGCAAAATCTCATGACAATGTCACTAGATTTTTCCTGATCTTAATCAAAACACAATACTGGAAACCTAAAAGTGAGAAAATAATAAACTTTTAAGCTTTATATAAGCTTAGATTTGACTGTTCCATTCATGCTATTCAAGTAAATTCAAACAGTGGTTGTGAAACTTAAATTCTGTAGTGATAATCTGAGGTATCATTTGATTAGATTGTTTGTCGTAACAAAATGACTTTATGTACTTTGTGCATATCTTATACCTTATGCTTTTATGTTTGTTTGTTTGTTTGTTTTCTGCTTATAAACTAGTGTTTTCTTGTCTTAAGTGGTCTTGAGCAATATTTTTCTGACTTTCTGAAGGTTTCAAATTATGTACCTGAAATATTTGTTAATTTTATTGCTTTTCTCTTTCAAATTGTATATTTATCAAATTCTGTTTTGAGACTAATTCTGTATAAAGACAGTTTTGACAGACATAAACCTGTACTGTATGTTTGCATCATTAGAAAGACATTTCGTAGATGTGCCTAAAAATTCAGAGAATGAGAGACAGAAGTTCAAGCTGCTTACAGATGATCAGTAACTGACAGTCACTGTCCTAAACACACACATCCAGAAAAATAATTGGCATTCCTATTCATTTGATTTACTATACACTATTTTGTTTCCACTAATAGCTTATTAGATTTGGAGTAAAAACAAATTTCATCCTAGCCAAAGTGGAATTTTTACCTTTTTTTGTAGATGCAGCTAAGAAAATGGGCACACATTTCAAATAAATAAATTAAAATAATAATAATATTTTAATAAGAAGAGGAGTAATGTCCACAGCAAAACAAACAAACAAACAAAAAAAAAAAACTAATGAAACCCTGGAAATTCTTATAAGACAAGACATTCAGACAACTTGGCAAGAAATGTAAAATACTCTTCTAAAATCAGGACGTGTAGGTCTACACAACTGGGTTAATTTAATCTCAGATTGCCTTCCAGTCATAGTCTGCTAATAAATAAAATCAGATTAAACTATACACATCCTGGCACACAGTCCCTGTTGTAAAGTGAAAGTACACAAATGAGTGGCTCAATTACGGAGTGATAGTCACGTTATCTGTTCAAAATAACTATTGAAAAAAAACCCCATTTATATTAACAACAACTTTATAATAACTGTGTTTCCTTTTCGCGCAGCGTTGTCCTCCAGCGCGTCCTACAGTGAGAACATTATATCTCGGCATACATCACTGACATAAAGGAAGGGAGGGGCTGCTGCAAAACACATAGGCAGAATGAATGCAAAGCGCCTAAAGAACACTTCCTGTTGATGTAAAAACTGAAGCCGCAACTGTCTGACACATCTGGACCGGAGAGGGGGGGAGGCCTGGCTGTAGCGTTAGCGAACTACTGAGGGGAATGGACAACATTTAACGCTAATCTGCGAGACGGTGAGTTTGGTGGACTTCATCTTTGGCATGGACTGGTGACCGTAGTGCGTTTGTAATGTCGGCACGTCGGTTCCATTTCAGTGTAAGTAATGGAAAAATAATTACTTACCTACGAGCGCACGCTAAGCTATCAGTTGCCTGCACTTAGCACTGGCTGCCGCTGCTTGCTTTCGGAATGACATGAAGTGGTTGCAGGGCTACAGCTACACGCTAACATTAGCTAGCTAGCATAGAAGCTATTTTCTGTGACAGCCGACATAGTTTGCACCCGCGTTCGACGTTATAACTAAGTCATATAAACTTGCCAATGGGTTTTATAATCTGAGATGAGAATCTGCGACTAAACGATTAGCCAGTACAAGTGTGAAGTATCTATTTAAGTAGCGTCTTACTCTTTAAACTCGATTGTAGGTTAGCCAGTGTAGCTAGTTAGCCACTGCCTGTGTGCAGCTCGGTAGTCGGCTCTTTTGGCCTTGTGTGTCGATACAAATTAGGCAAGGAATGATATTTAACTTTTAATGTTATCGTTAGATTGAGTGATAATGACTATATGAACTTAAAATATGTGGGAGTGACGGTAAAGCTAGCGTCACTGTTAGCAGCTCAGCTATAACCACCCCCCATTAGCCTAATGGTTTAAATTAAAGTTTGATACGACCCTTCACCGGTTTACCGGCACGTATACACATACACTATTGGATTTGCAGTACTTGCTTAAAACACACTCGGGGATATGAGCAGTTATGTTAATACTTAAAAAAATCTAATGAAAATGAAGAAGTTGACTCGGTGTACTGTAAAGTACGCGATGTCGTAATCCCTGCAGCTCCAGTATGGGATCGTATGCTCAGTCTGTGAGATACATGTTCACTGGTTATAGATATGTGCTGAAAAATGGATTACAAAACTAAAGGTAGAAGAGAAAAATTTCATTTCATGACAGTTTGTAGTACTAAGCTAATATAAATTGTCAGTAATGATCAAGTACAGGGACGTGGCGTATTAAATTCAGTACACCTGGGTTTACTTAAATCCCCAAGAGTGTTAACTAATGTTATGTGATATCTATTTAACATTAAACATCCATTTTCAGACATGATTAATTGCTTGTTCATTGTATCTGTAACCAAAATGGTTTGTTTTATCTTAAAAGCAGCAAAACCAGTTGCAGTGTAGTTATGGTGCTGTTTACACACTGTTTTGTTTCTGCTGTGCTCTTTCACCTTTGACTAACCAGTTAAATTTTTTTTTGATTCACCAGATTGTGTTTGGTTGTTTTACAACACGATATTAGGCCAGCTGATCAAAGGACTGTTCTACATATTTTTTTTGTTACCTCAGAAAAATCTGAGTTTGACTCAAGTGTTTGTGACATTTGTCACTTTGTACTTAATATGCCGTATGTATAGTTGTACACAATTTGTTGATGTTTTGAAATTGGATGGTAAAAATTCTCCCAGATTTACAAATGATCAAACTTGTGGAAAATATATGGGCACCAGTGACCCTGAAAAGAAAAAGCAGGTATAGATAATGGATACATGGATGTCATTCAGGATGTAAACATCTTGTTTGGGCTAATTGAAAAAACATATTTTTTTATTCTATTTCAAGGTATTGACTTTCATCTAATGCATTATCTTGCATAGTAGTATTAAAAACAATGTTTTGTGCAGCGTTAAAAGCTAAAAATTACAGTTTTGAAACAAACACATTTTGTACATTAAACAAATAGTTGTGCTATATTGTAATCCTCTGTTAGTAGCAATACCTCTGTTTGGTGCTTTGGTAATATTATGTTGGAGAAGCGAAAGATCATAAGAAATGGGCTCCCATCCTTTATGACCTTTGTTTAATAAGATTAGCATGCGATGAGGCTGAAATGAAATAAAGGAAGTGTATTGTCTGGTTTTCCATTTATGTTCTCCAAATCCAATCAAGGAACACTTCATGCAGTGTGGAGCGCTGCGTACTGTTTGCTTACTGTAGGCTTGTTCAGGATGTGTTATTTTCCCTTCTGTCCCTTAAGTCGTTCTAAAGCCAGTCTATTTTTGTTGTGGACTTGTTTTACTATCTGTTTTAAATGACTGTGTTCTGCGCTTATGAAGCAAATTTGTCCTGCGTCTGGAGTGGCCCACAAACTGTTTTTTCAAAGTAAGCAAATGTTGCTGATGTTGAAGAAAGTCTTCAAAGCTTGTCTGCTGACTTGGGATTTCTTTTCCCCCCACTGAAATGACAAAACATGTTAAATGGATGTTTTAGGTGACACCTCGTCTCTAAAGTAAAGTTGCGCTTCAGTCAGTGCAAGTATCACATTGTAGTACTCTGTATCCTGTGTATGTGAATTCATATGGCAGCTGTATCAGTTTCATTATCTAACAAGGAATTTGAGCCACAGATGGAATTTATTTTTTGAGTTGAGTTCAAACATTTTTTGGCTTTCAGATTTAAGCCAAGCGTCTGACCCTCACTCAGCATGTACATTTCAGCTACTGAGCATACATTCTTTGGCTTCCCTTTCACTTGGCTCCGTTGAGTTTGCATACCGCCATTGCTAGTATGTTTAATGTACGAACGTGTTTGAAAAGTGGTCACAACAGGAGTGTAGGATAATCTTTTTCTTGTCAAAAATCTTTAGGGTTTTGATACAGCCTTGTCTTTTCTGGTGCCAGGATTTGAGCATAAGGTTTACGAGACAGGTGTCTTGGCACGCTTTTGCAATTGGAGAAAGTGCTTACGTACCCGGAGCACTGAGGGTACTCATCATGCAGAGGATCGTGCTGAATAGCCAGTTAGGAACAGAAGGGGATGAGGAGGTGCTGGGAAAGAGATGGGAGAAAGACAGAGAAGAAGGTTACAACTGGGGAAGTGACGTATGTTAATATTTTCAACATGGAATGTTTTTTTTTTTTCCATGAAAACACAGAATTACTCATTTCATTAGATTTTTTTATTTTGAGCTTACATTCTTTCACTTTTTGCATTGAAAGTTGTTAAAGAGCTATTTTGAAGCTAAATCTACATTCCAAATTAGTGTGTTGCATATTGACTGTTGACAGTTTGTATAACTGGTGCTAGTGTTAAATGTGAGGTTTAGGCATGAACTTAGTAAATATTTTAGTAGCAAACTGAAGTCAGTATTTTATTTTGTCAGGATAGAAAGGCTAGTGTGTCGATGTCCTGCGTGTTTTTTTTAGCTTTCCTGTTTGGGCAAAACCTATTTCTTACTTTAGGTCTACACCTAAATGCATCTTTTTAAAGTAAAACCTTTGGCAAGTGTGGCTAGAGAGACAGGATCAACAAGTATTAATACACAAACAACTGCAAGGTCACCGTTCTTCTCGATTGCTTCAGAAGATTGTCTTTGAAAGTCTTCTCAAGAACAGTTGGTACATACCCACCAAACAAGGCAAAACCAGATTTTCCTCTTTCTCTGCCAAATGTAGAATGTAGAGTATACCTGTAAAGCCTGACACCTATGACTGTTAACGTTTTACCACAGTCACAGTCTAGTACATTTTGTTCAGTAATTTGCATGTAGTTTGTCTGTTTTTCCAGACAATTTCCTCAGCAACAACTAAACTGAATCGAAAGAGAAACAAAACTGTTTTGGGAAAAACATTTCAGTGAAATGAGGAATGAAATGCTTATCTTTGGTTACATTGTTACATTTGTTATTTTTTAATTTTTATTTATAAATTTTTGTTTTTGTTTTCTGTGGTACAATAAAACGGTACTCATAAAACAACAGCACTTTTAGCACTGTAAAGACTGTCTACATAAACTGTCTACATTGTCTACATAATATTCATCATAAATGTGATGATACAGATTTTTTGTAAAGCTAAGTGACGTAGTAGAGTGGACCTTAACCTTTTTTTAGAGCCCAAATTTGGACATCAAAAACTAAAAAATCTGTACCCCATTCCACACACGTGCAAATGGCCTCAAAAGATTAGACTATATTTCTTTTTATCTTATTGTCATTATTTTTTTTATAATCTTGGAGTGTTTTTTCTATTTATTGCCCTACAGCACATGTGTCAAATACAAGGCCTGCGGGCCAAATGTGGCCTGCGGGTGACTCTCGTGTGGCCCGCCGAGGGGGAATATATATATATTTTTACTTAGCATGAAATTTGTTTCTTTTATCAGTGGTAAACTTTAAATTTATGATTAAATGCCACAAAATAAATTTAATAAAAATAAATGAAATAAAAATAAATTTAATAAATTCCTGTCCCTGAGCTGTTGGCTTATAGTAACTGAGCAATTTAGCTGGATAGCACAGTATTAATGTCTGAAAATAAGCTGCTTTAAAGTCACCATCAAACATAAACTAAATAATATTTCTGTATTTATTTCAGATTTAGTCAGTCATACACTTAGTTCTTATCAGTGTTTAAAAGAGGACGTGTTAAAACACTGTTTAGTCAAAGTTAAACATGAAGCGTCAAAGTTTATTACAAGTGGCCCTTCGAGGGCCACCATAACGCTCATGTGGCCCTCAGAGAAAATGAGTTTGACACCCCTGCCCTACAGTGTGGAATTCAATTTTTTTTTAAATTTACCTATGTAATAACTTTACAAGATATGACTTCAGATTAGTAATGTTAAATTGGGAGGTGGGGAGATTGTTTGTTTTAAATAATTCGAAAACATATAAAACAAAAAATGATGCATGCATATATGCAAACCCCAAAACTCAGTAGATTGTGTCACTGCGTTTTACCACAGTTAGCAAGTGTCTTCGGTTACATCTACCCACTGGAATTTTTGCTCATTCATCATGACAAAACTGCTTGAGGTCATACAGGTGGGGTGGGTACAGCTTGTGTCTAACAATGTTTAAATTATATCAGAGTTTCTCAGCAAGATTCAGGTCTGGACTTTGGCCAGGTTCTCCCAGGATATGTAACTGGTTTACCATAAACCATTGGAGTGCTGCTTCTGCAGTGTGATTAAGTCATAGAGTTATATAAGGCAGCTAGAGTGTGCAT